AAGAGCCTTCTGTAGCTCCATTACAGAAAGGCAGACAACTCCATTAAATTGCATCAAGATTTGAACGCTTTACAGATGTAGATATGTGAGTGATTAATAGCATAAAGCACAAATGATGGTAAACTTGTATTTTTGGTACGAATATAAAATGGTGCAATTACTTTGGAAAATGTCCTGTTTCTTATAAAATAATTATATATGTACCCTTTGACCCAGAATTATACTCTTAGATATTTACCCAAGAAAAATCAAAGCCTGTGCCCCCCCCCCGCCAAAGACTTCTATATAATATAGCAGCTTTATACTTGCTTAATAGCCCAAACTGAAAATGCTATTATTCATCAATGGGAAAATGAATAAAGATATTATGATACATTCTACTACAATGAAATACTTATTCAACATTAAGAGATAAGCTACTCCTTTGGATTCTGTGTCTCCTTCTCTCTCTGCCCCTCCCCCACTTGCACTCTGTCTCTCAAAAATAAACGTTAAAATTTTTTTAAAAAGAGATAAGCTACTGACACATGAACCAACATGGATGAATGTTGTGGAGCGAAATCTCACACAATGGAGTATTATTGGATGTGTTCCATTTGAAGTGCAAAATAGCCAAAGTTAATCTGTGGTGAAAAAGAGTTGTTTGTCTCTGGGAAAGGGAGAACTTACTGGACTGTTGGAAATGTTCTAGATCTTGAATACTTTCACTTTTTCAAAGCTAATTTAATTGTAAGCTTAAGTTTTAAACATTTCACTGTATGTAAATTTTTACCTTAAAAAAATGAACAGATCTTGAACTCAGCTAATTATGTACATGCTAACTTATTTTGGGGTGAAGGGCAGGTTCCTTTGAAATGTATAAAAAGATAAGATGGATTGGTAGGTGGATGGATTGATAGATGATAAAGCAAATTTAGTGGAATACTAATAATTATGGTGGTAGATGGTAGGTGGTAGATGTTCACTGTCTAACTCTTCCACCTTTTGTTGTGTTCGAAATTTTTCATAAGAAAATGCTGGAAAAAAAATGAACAAAGAAAAAGATTTAAGAGAAAGTAACAGATTTTGAAAACATGCCAAGAAGAGCCAATATAGAAGTAATAAAACCAAAGAATGGAACACAACAAATACTGAAAACTGTAATTTGAGTGAACTTTACTGAAATGGAAAATGTGAACCTATATATTGAAAGAACATATGACATATGTGAGAATGTTGACCAGAATGACCCACACCAAAATTACTGGACTTAAAGAACAGTCCTTTGGGCATCTAAAACAAAAAGAGCAAGTGACTTATAAGGGAGACAGAATTAGGTTATAGATATTTTCACACTAGTGTTTTATACTAGAAGAAAAGAGAGTAACATATTTCCTATACTCAAGGAAACAAAATGTAGGTCAAGGATTTTATAACTAGCAAAATTGACTTTGAACTATAGAAAGCCAATGAAGCTATTATCACCATGTAAGAATTTAAGAACTGTTGTTCTGATGAGCCCTTCTCAAGGAGTCTACTGGACAATGAACTTCAGATAACCAGAAATGTTGAGTGATACCAACAGAAGAATTAATCTGTGTTACTTCTAAAACTAAGACCAAATGAGAGTTAGAAATGAGAGAATATATAATGGCTATATACTCTGACAATGTAGATAAAGAACAGTTACACAAAATGGTAGAAAGAGAAGGGGTCAGCACAGGCAAAAAAGTTTGATTGCTTTTATTAATGGTATTGATGTTAGTACTGTTATTCAATTTTGAGACTGTTGTGTATTGTATAGAGCATTGAATAATTATGGAATATATGGAATTAATTATGGGATAATTTTTATTGTGTACATAGTCTAGTTGCATATGCAGAATCTGGAATGTCTTGTCATTCCAGACTAGCAAGGAACCTTATTAATGACTAGGTTCACATCATGATGGCTTAGGAATCCACTTGAGTTAGTTGAGGTTTCAATAATGATAATACTTGCAGTGTTTTTGAAACCCACCAAGTATGTTTAACTCTTTGAGTTGCTCTGATATTAAAAACTAATTGTTTATCTTGGAGGATGATAGAGTACCAATTTATTTTCTTGAAAAAAGATTAAAAGAAGGAGCCAATCACTTATCCCTGTTTTCCAAATAATCTGGTATGACTGGGTAACCAAGCAGCAGATGAGTGGAGCATATCTCTATAAAATGTTCCAACTAAATAATAAAAAAGAATTGATATAATTTCACTCTACAATTTCTCTTAGTAAAATAGTGGATCTAGGCATTGACCAGGAATGGCTACTAACACCATCAAAAAAGAGACAGCTAGACGTTACATGCCTCTTCATAAATACAGCATCACTTACAGTCATGGAGCAGGAGTCTGACCAAGCCTTTGGATCTAGCTGTCAGTTTGCAGAAAATAGTGTTTGCACCATGAGTATGTCATCTGCAAAATCCACACAGTGAGGAAATGAAATCAGGTTAATAGGAAATATTCATATATTTGAAGGCATAAATATAAACTCTATGGAAGAAATAATATAGCTAAAATTGGAGATGGAAGAGAGAAATCAAGGAAAGTGGGAGTAGAAATACATCTTCTTCCTTGCTTATGGTTGGGAGTCTGTATCAACCTGGAGGCATAACAAAGAAATTAGGAAAAAATATATCTGACATACCAATCAGTGGACAAAACCAACTTACTAAAACTGGTTTTCAGAATCACAAAGCAAAACTCAATTTTTCATGTACTGATATGGAATTCTCTCTGTATTAACTGAAAGCAAAAATGGGCACAATAAATATATGTTGAAGCATGATGTGTATTCATGTTTTGACGATTTCTAGAAAGTTGCCTAAGAAACTGGTGATTTTGGTTTGTGCAAGAAACTGGTAATAATGGTTACCTCCAGGGAAGTGATCTCCTGGACCACTGAGGGTTGGGAGTGGGCCAGAGACTTAGTTTTTGCTGTATGTTTTTTTGAACCTTCTAAATATCATGTATTAAAAAAGTAATAAAATCCTTTCCATCCTAGTCTTGTATTTGACTGACTTGCATGTTCATAGTACTAGGTACTTACAGACAAGGTAAAGAAACCATTAAAGAGACTAATGAACATAAAAGGTAAAGAAGTCATAATATGTAATGTGCAAAGAAGTAGAGACATAAAGGTTGTGTGGGTGGCTTAGTCAGTCAAGTGTTGGACTTTTGATTTTGGCTCAGGTCATAATGTCATGGTTTGTGAGTTCAAGCCCTCTGTCAGGCTCTGTGCTGACAGTGCAGAGCCTGCTTGGGATTCTCTCTCTGCCCCTCCCCTGTGCACATACTCTCCCTCAAAATAAATAAACTTTAAAAAAAGTAGAGATACAGTGTCATTTACCATTACATGTCCCCTGTCTTCTACCAAGCCTTTCTCTCTTGGTATTTTCACGATTGGTTATAGAGGTGATATTAATGACCGTTTAAAACCATGACTTGGCTGATGCTGGGCCCTCATTTTTCAAGTGTTTTGGGAGAAGTCATAAAAGAGTAGAGTTGGGTCTCAGCATCCATCAACAAGAAGGTATACAGCTGTCCCATCTTCTATTGGAGGTCCATTCTTTTAGAGGGTTTGTTTTCTGTGTTTCTATTGATTTTTCCCTAAGGTTATTAAGTCAGAGAAAGTTTATTTCCTACCCGAAGTTGGAGGAACAGAAAAAGAACTATGAATAGCTCAACTGCTTTACCTTGGTTAGGGAGACAAAAGTTTGACAATTTGAACATTTTTTTCTCTTTAGAGGGAGCCTGAGAATAGGGGAGAGAGAGGGAGAGGCAGAGGGAGGGTGTGCAGAACCCTGTGTGGTGCTCAAACTCATGAACCATGAGATCATTATCTGAGCTGAAATCAAGAGTCAGTTGCTCAATTGACTGAGCCACCCAGATGCTCCAAGAATTTGAACAATTTAATAGAAGATCTTACTAAAAAGGGCAAACTTCCAATTTACTGTGCAGTTTAAACCAAACATATTTAGTATATACCCTGTATATACATTTTTTTATTTGGTATAATTTTTTCCTAAGGCAAGAGAAACAATATTGTGTGTGATACACTGATACCTGCTTATTCATCTCAGCTTCTAGGGTGAAATCCTAGAATTTTAAGGAAATATTTTAAAATCATATTACTTTATTGCATGTTGAAAATGGTAGAGAATACTTTCAAAACTGAGAAATATCAAGTTTTATTATGACTTTTGTATTTTGTGTACCCCCCCTTTATTCTTTTGCTTTATAATTAGACACTGTTAAGAACAGGAGGTAAAAAGTACCCTGATTTTCACTTCATTGTACCACATACTGTATTTATTTATAAAGTTTATTTATTTATTTTGAGAGAGACAGCAAGCAGAGGAAGGGAAGAGGGAGAGAGAGAATCCCAAGCAAGCTTCACACTGTCAGTGCAGAGCCCAACATGGGGCTCAAACTCATGAAACTGTTAGATCATGACCTGAGCCGTAATCAGGATTTAGAGGCTTAATTGACAGAGCCACCCAGGTGCCCCACCATATACTTTAAAAGGAAGTTGAAACTGGCCTGGAAGCTTTATGTTGTAGGTCTCTAGGTTTGGATTATACCTATATGGAAACAAGCCTTTAATACCTGAGATTGCTGACCCTTACAAATTTAGTTTGACTAAACCAAAATTAAAAAAAAAATTTTTTTTTCTTAATGTTTTTATTTATTTTTGAGACAGAGACAGAGCATGAGCAGGGGAGGGGCAGAGAGAGAGGGAGACACAGAATCCGAAGCAGGCTCCAGGCTCTGAGCCACCAGCACAGACCCCGATGCGGGGCTCGAACTCACAGACTGTGAGATCATGACCTGAGCCGAAGTCGGATGCTCAACTGACTGAGCCACCCAGGTGCCCCTGACTAAACCAAAATTAAGACATTGTTTTAATTTGTGTATGTATCTGTATATATTGTATTCCATTTATCTAATGTTTTATGTGATTTTTGTTTCTTTTGTGACAGATAATCTTTAAAGAGCAACTTTCACCAAAAAAATTGGGCTTCTTAAATGTGACAGAACTCGTTGGAGCTCTTAGTGACATTCTGCGTGTTGAGTTCAGGGAAGGAGAACAAGACTTACTGGTGTTTGATGCTGATATGAAGCCACTCCCACCTGGTGAGTTGAATCACAATATGATGCAAACCTGATTTTTTCTTTTTAAATTGAAGTATAGTTAACATCCATTTATATTAGTTTCAGGGGTACAACATAGTGTTTTGACAATTTCATACATTTTGCTGTGCTCACCATGATGAGTGTAGTTACCATCTGTCACTATACAATATTATCACAATATTATTGGCTATATTCCCTATGCTGTATATTTCATTTCTGTGACTTATTTATTTTATAACTGGAGGTTTGTACCTCTTAATACCCATCACCCGTTTTGCTCCTCCCCTGTTATCCTCCCCTCTGGCAACTACCAGTTCTCTGTATTTATGATTCTGTTTCCATTTTTGTTTGTTTTGGTGTTTAGATTCCACATATAAATGAAATCATGCAGTATTTGTCTTTCTCTGACTTGTTTTACTTAGCCTAATATCCTCTAGGTTCATCCCTGTTGTCACAAATGGCAAGATTTCGTTCTTTTTATAGCTGAGTAATATTCCATTGTATATATACTACATCTTTATCCATTCATCTATCGATGGACACTTAGGTTGCTTACATAACTTGGCAACTGTAAATAATACTGCAGTAAAGATAGGGTTGCATATGTCTTTTTAAAAAAATTTTTTTTAACATTTATGCATCTTTGAGAGACAGAGACAGAGCATGAACGGGGGGAGGGGCAGAGAGAGAGGGAGGCACAGAATCCAAAGCAGGCTTCAGGCTCTGAGCTGTCAGCACAGAGCCTGATATGGGGCTCGAACTCACAAACCGCGAGATCATGACTTGAGCCGAAGTCGGAGGCTCAACTGACTGAGCCACCCAGGTGCCCCGCATATATCTTTTTTAATTAGTGTTTTCATTTTTTTGGGGGGTGGGCAAATAACCCAGTAGTGGAATACTGGATCATATGTTATTTTTATTTTTCATTTTTTTAAGGTAACTTTACAGTGTTTTTCACAGTGGTTGCACCAATTTACATTCCCACCAACAGTGCACAAGGGTTCTCTCTTCTCCACATCCTTGCCAACACTTGTCTATTTCTTGTCTTGATATTAGCCATTCTGAAAGGCATAAGGTGATTTCTTACTGTGGTTTTGGTTTTGCATTTCTCTAATGATTACTGACGGTCAACATCTTTTTATGTGTCTGTTGGCTACCTGTATGTTGCCTTTGGAAAAATGTCTATTAAGATCTTCTGCCCATTTTTTTTGGATTCTGTGTTTTCTTGGTATTGGATTGTAGAAGTTCTCTATGTATTTTGGGTATGAATCCCTTATTGGATATATCATTTGCAAATGTATTCTCCCATCCTGGAGATTGCCTTATTGTTTTGCTGATGGTTTCCTTTGTTGTGCAAAAGGTTTTTAGTTTGATGTAGTCCCAGTATTTTATTTGTGCTTTTGTTTCCCTTGTATGAGAAAACATATTCATAAATACATTGCTAAGGCTGATGTCCAAGAGATTACTGCATATGTTTTCTTTGAGGAGCTTTATGGCTTCAGGTCTCATATTTAGGTGTTTAATCTGTCTTGAGTTTATTTTTGTGTTTGGTATAAGTGGTCCATTTTCATTCTTTTGCATGAAGAGACTGTCTTTTCCCCATTGTATATTGTTACCTCCTATGTCATAGATTAATTGACCATGTAAGCATGGGTTTATTTCTAGGCTCTCTCTTCTATTGCTCTGTGTGTCTGTTTTTGTGCCAGTACCATACTCTTGATTACCATAGCTTTGTGGTATGTCTTGAAATCTGGGATTGTGATACCTCTGGGTTTGTTCTTTTTCAAGATTGCTTTGGCTATTTAGAGTCTTTTGTAGTTCTGCATAAATTTTAGAATTGTTTGTTTAGTTCTGTGAAAAGTCCTATTGGTATTTTGATGAGAATTGGATTGAATTTGTAGATTGCTTTGGGTAGTATGGATGTTTTAACAATATTGGTTCTTCTAATTCATGAGGATGGTATATCTTTTCATTTGTGTCATCTTCATTTTCTTTCATCAGTGTTTTATAGTTTTCACAGTACAGAACTTTCACTTGGTTAAATTTATTCCAAGGTATTCTGTTCTTTTTGGTGTAGTTGTAAATGGGACCATTTTCTTAATTTGTTTCAGCTTACTTCATTATGGTATAGAAATGCAACAGATTTCTGTATATTAATTTTGTATCCTGCAACTTTACTGAATTCATTTATTCTAATAGATTTTTGGTGGAGTTTTAAAGGTGTCGTATATATAGTATCATGTCATCTGTGAGTAGAGACAGTTATATTTCTTCATAATCAATTTGGATGCCTTTTTCTTTTCTGATTGCTGTAGCTGGGACTTCCAGTACTATGTTAAATAAAAATGACAAGAGTAGACATTCTTCTTTTGTTCCTGAGAGGAAATCTTTCAGTTTTTCACCATTGATTTTGATGTTAGCTGTGGGTTTGTCATATATGGCCTTTATTATATTGAATTATGTCCCTCTATATACACTTTGTTGAGAATTTATCATGAACAGATGTCAGATTTTGTCAAATGCTTTTTCTGCATCTGTTGAGATGACCATATGGTTTTTATCTCTTCATTTTGTTAATGTGATATATAAAGTTGATTGATTTGTGGATATTGAAACACTCTTCCGTTCCTGGAGTAAATCCCACCACTTGATTGTGGTGAATGATCCTTTTAATATATTGTTGAATTTGGTTTGCTAATATTTTGTTGAGGATTTTTGCATTGTATGTTCATCAGGGATATTAACCTGTAGTTTTCTCACTCTCCCCCCCCCCCCCCCCCCACACTTTCTTTCTGTCTTTCTGTCTTCTTTGTAATGTCTTTGGTTTTGGTTTCAGAGCAATGCTTGCTCATTGAATGAATATGGAAGCTCTCCTTCGTCTTTTATTTTTGGCACGGTTCGAAAGAGTGGCTGTTAATTATTTAAATGTTTGATAGACTTCACCTGTGAAGCCATCCAGTCCTGGATTTTCATTTGTTGGGAGTTTTTTGATTACCTATTCAATTCTGTTACTAATAATTGGTCTGTTGATATATTTAGTTAATTCGTCCATTTCTTCTAATGGTCCATTGGTTGTCCAATTTGTTGGTATATAATTTTTTTGTAGTGTTCTCTTATAATCCTTTGTATTTCTGTGATGTTGGTTGTTTTGTGTTTCATTCTGATGTTATTTGTTTGAGACCTCTTTTTTTTCCCTTGGTGAATCTGGCTAAAGATTTATCAATTTTGTTTCTCTTTTCAAAGAACCAGCTCTTGGTTTCATTATTATTTTTTTTTAATGTTTATTTATTTTTGAGACAGAGACAGAGCATGAATGGGGAGGGTCAGAGAGAGAGGGAGACACAGAATCTGAAACACGCTCCAGGCTCTGAGCTGTCAGCACAGAGCCCGACGCGGGGCTTGAACTCACAAACCGTGAGATCATGACCTGAGCCAAAGTCAGAGACTTAACCGACTGAGCCACCCAGGCCCCCCTTGCTTTCATTATTCATCTACTCTGTTACTTTTTAGTCTCCATTTCATTTATTTCTGTTCTCATCTTCATTATTTCCTTCCTCTTACTAACTTTGGGCGTTGTTTATTCTTTTCCTAGTTCCTTAAGATGTAAGAATAATTGTTTACTTGAAATTTTTCTTGTTTCTTGAGATAGGGCCGTATCCCTATAAACTTCCCTCTTAAAGCTGCTTTTGCTACATCCCAAAGATTTTGGACCATTATATTTTCATTTTCTTTAAAAAAAAAAAAAATTTTTTTTTAACGTTTATTCATTTTTGAGACAGAGAGACAGAGCATGAATGGGGAAAGGTCAGAGAGAGAGGGAGACACAGAATCTGAAACAGGCTCCAGGCTCTGAGCTGTCAGCACAGAACCCGACGTGGGGCTCGAACTCACGGACCGCGAGATCCTGACCTGAGCTGAAGTCGGACGCCCAACTGACTGAGCCACTCAGGCGCCCCATTATATTTTCATTTTCATTTGTCTTTGTTTTTTTTTATTTCCTATTTAATTACTTCATTGATTTTTTTGGTTAATAGCATGTTGTTTGGCCTCCATGTTTTGGTGTTTTTTGCAGTCTTGCTTGTAGTTGATTTCCAGTTTCATACTGTTGTGTTTGGAAAAGATGCTTTATATGATTTCAGTTTTCTTAAATTTATTGAGTCTTGTTGTGTGGCTTAACGTGATATAGAGAAGGAAAAAACTTGAAAAGAATGTATATTCTGTTTTTGGATGGAATGTTCTGTATATATTAAGTCTATCTGGTTTAATGTGTTGTTCAAAGCCATTGCTTCCTTATTGATTTTGTGTTTGAATGATCTGATCATTGATGTAAGTGAGCTGATAAAGTCCCCTACTATTACGGTGTTAATATCAGTTTCTCCCTTTGTGTCTTTTCATAGTTGCTTATTTAGGTGCTCCTGTGTTGGGTGTGTAGATACTTACAGTGGCTCTGTTTTCTTGTTGGATTGATCTTTTTAACATTATACACTGCCCTTATTTGTTCATTACAGTCTTTATTTTAAAGTCCATTTTATCTGATGTATTGCTACACTGGCTTTAAAATTTTTTTTTTGCTTCCATTTGCATGGTATAAGTTTTTCCAGGTCTTCACTTTCAGTCTGCATGTCTTTAGGCTTGGAGTGAGTCTCTTATGGGCAGCTATAGATGTCTTTTTTTTTTTTTTAATCCATTCAGTCACCCTTGTCTTTTGGAGACGGTGGTGCATTTACATTTAAAGTAATTATTGGTTATGGTTTCACTCTTATGTGGATCCTGAGAGCAAGAGAAACCCATGGGAGGAACAAAAAAAAAAAAAAAGAGGTTAGAAGTGGGGAGAAAACCAAAAGCATATTGAAACTGAGAACAAACTAAAAAAAGTTGATGAGGGGTGGGAGGGAGGGTGGGTGATGGGTACTGAGGAGGGCACCTTTTGGGATGAGCACTGGGTGTTGTATGGAAACCAATTTGACAATAAATTTCATATATAAATAAAAAAAAATAATAATAAAATAAAAAAAAATAAAGTAATTATTGGTTAAGTATGTACTTACTGCCATTTTGTTTTTGTTTTCTGGTTGTTTTTATAGTTTTCTGTTTTTCTTCTCTATCTCTCCTTGTGATGACCTCCTTCAGTGTTATGCTTGGATTCCTTTCTCCTTATTTTTTGTGTATCTGGTAGAGGTTTTTGTTTAGTGATTACCATGAGGCTCATATATAACATCCTGTGTATGTAGCAGTCTATTTTATATTTTTAGTTGATGGTAAGTTTGAACACATTCTAAAAATAGACATTTTTGTTTTGTGTATATCATATTTCGTATCTTTTTATTTCATGAGGCCCTTAACTAATTTTTTAGATAACATCGATTTTACTACTTCTGTCTTTTAACCTTCATACTAGTTTTATAAGAGATTGATTTACTACTCTCTGTTTGCTTTTACTTGTGAACTTTTTTCTTTTTATAATTTTCTTCTAATTATGGTCTTTTCCTTTCCACTTAAAGAAGTCTCTTGAACATTGCTTCTAAGTCTGTTTTGGTGATGATGAACTTTTGTTTGCTGGGAAACTAGTTCTTATTAAATTCTGAATGATAACCTTGCTGGGCAGAATATTCTTTGTTACTGTTTTTTTTTTCCCTTTCATCAGTTTGAATATACCATGCCATTCCCATCAGAGCTGATACTCGTATGGGGTTTCCCTTGTACATGACTTGTTGCTTTTCTTTTGCTACTTTTTAGATTTTATCTTTAATTTTTGACATTTTAACTAATGTGGACCTCTTTGCGTCCTTGTTTGGGGTTCTCTGTGATTCCTGGACTTGGATGTCTGTTTTCTTCTCCAGGTCAAGGAAGTTTTCAGCTATTATTTTTTCAAGTTATTTTTCTGTGCGCCTGTGTGTGTGCTGTCTCTCTCTGTCTCTCTCTCTCTGTCTCTCTGTCTCTCTCTCTCTTTGGGACCCCTATAATATGAATGTTAGAATGCTGGATATTGTCCAAGAGATCTCTTAAACTTATCTGAGTTCTCTTAAACTTATCCTCATTTGAAAAAACATTTTTCTGTTTAGTGTGGGTGCTTTCTATTACTGTTTTCCATATCACTGATCCATTCTTCTGCATCCTCTGATATGCTGTTGATTCCCTCTAGAGTATTTTGCATTTCATTTACTGTATTCTTCAGCTCTGATTGGCTCTTTTTTATATTATCTGTTTGTTGAGGTTTCACTGAGCTTATGCACTCTTCTCTGAAGTCAGGTGAGCATCTTTATGATCATTATCTTGAATTTCTAAGATAGTTTGCTTATCTCCATTTTGTTGAGTTCTTTTTTGAGGTTTTGTCTTGTTCTTTGATTTGAAGTATGTTATTCTGTCTCATTTTATTTGATGCTCTGTGTTTTCCTATGAATTAGGTGGAGCAACTACTTCTCCTAGACTTGAAGGAATTGCCTTATGCGGAACATCCTCTATGTAGACTGTGTGCGTGTGGCAGCTTTGGCTGGCTGGCTTAATCTTTAGCAGGTACAGGCTGGGTGTCCCATGGCACTTTGTGCTGGGACTACCCTGGTGGTATGGCTGGAGCTGAAGCAGGTACACACCAGGGGATCCTGGTGCTCTTCATACAGGGGGTATTCTGGAGGGACAGTTGGAGCTGAAATGAGTGTGGGTTGGGAGTTCCCAGAGTGCTCTGCATAGTGGGTGCCCCGGTGAGTTGTCTGTAGCTGAAGTGGGTATGGGCCTGGAGTATGCTGGGAGATGCTAACCTGTTTTTTAATTGTCTTTGTAAGGACAAGGAAAATAAAGCATGATTATGTAATATTCTTTATTGTAAGCATATGAACCAGACAGATTACACATTAGCCTTGAAAACATTTTGTATATGATGACCTTTCTGGTGATACTTATTGTAATAAGGCTAATCGGTATTATTAATAAAGACCATCTATCTGACTTTTTAAAATATACTTTCTTCATTATCCAGATTTTTCTATAACTTTGAAGAAACCAGTTTTCTGAAACAGTGATCTGATGGGGAAGTGCTAGATCAGCGGTTGTTAACTCTGGCTGTGTATCAGAAAGCTTTTAAGAAATACAAGGACATTTTTGATAAATGGGTGTGCATTGGAACCTAGCACATATATTTGTTTTTTAAACAAACTTTTTCAAACCTAAAACTAAAAATTATCTTAGGTTTACAGAAAAGTTGCAAAGGTATTATAGATTCTCTTGTGCCTTTCATCCATCTAATATTAACATCTTACATTAATTACTATGATACATTTATGAAAACTAAGAAATTAATTCTGATATATTATTATTAGCTAAACTGTAGATTTTATTTAGGTTTTACCAGCTTTCTCATAATTGTTCTTTTTCTGTTTCTGGATCTACTTCAGGATACCACACTGCATTTAAGGCACTTGATTTTTGTTTTTTTTTGGGTTTTTCTTTTGAAATTTTTATTGAGAGTATTGTAGGCTTATATACCGTTAAAAACTAATACAGGGAGGTTCCGTGTATTCTTTATTTTGTTCCCTCAGTGGTAACATGTTGCCAAATTATAGTAGTGTAAGGTACAGTTGACTCTTAAATAACATGGGTTTGAGTTGCATAGGTCCACTTATACGTGGATTTTTTATGGTAAAATCAGTATAATATTGTAAATGTAATTTCTCTTCCTTATGATTTTCTTAACATTTTCTTTTCTCTGGCTTACTTTATTCTAAGAATGGGCATTGAGGAGGGCACCTGTTGGGATGAGCACTGGGTGTTGTATGGAAACCAATTTGAAAATAAATTTCATATTAAAAAAATAAACTGTCATGGAGGGAAAAAAGAATATAGTATATAATACATACATAAAATATATGTTAATCAACTATTTATATTATCAGTAAGGCTTCTGGTCAGCAGTAGGCTCTAGTAGTTAAATTTTGGGGGAATCAAAAGTTATATGCGATTTTTGACTGCATTGGGGGTTGATGCCCCTACATGCTGCAGTGTTCAGGGTCAACTGTCCTTGTATTTTTATAAGCTTCTAAAAGTGGTTTTGATGGATCGCAACTTTTTTCCAGAATATCAATGTATCTTTGATATAAACATACCCACTTTGTTGATTTTTCTGATTAAAATAACATGGGTTATAAATAATGTGTAAATAACTCATGTTATTTTAATAAGTTGAAAGTGAATATTTCCCATCATTTTACTTGCCTGAAAAAATCTGTTAGAATTTTTATTGGTCTTTGAGATTTTTTTCAATGAATATGTAAGCATACGTAGATTTTTAAAAAAATTATAAAAGCAATATTTGTTTAAAAATTCCAGTAAGGTAGATTGGTAACTAGTAATTATTTTAATAGGTCTTTTTCTGGACCTCTTGTATAATACCATAGTTATTTATTACATGTAGAATTTTCTTGCATAAGATAGTGTTCTGTATATATAGAAGTTCTTTTTATACTTCGTATGTTATGGATGTTTTTCCATATCAGCATATGTAAGTTTATTTCATCCTTTTTAACTACATATAATTCTTTTATGTGACTGTATTATAATTGATTTAGTCTCCTGTTGACAGACATATAGAGTGTATTTATTTTTTGTCATTATAAAAGATACAGTGATAAACATTCTTGTACCTCCATCTTTGTGCACTTACTAGTTTTTCTGTAGGAGCCACTATGGTTTTAGGTCTATCTGGGTCTGTTTTAAGGTGTCAGTCTCTTAAAATCATCATACACATGTAAATTTGAACACAATATGTGATTGATTTGGTAATCCCCTAAAAATTAAGGCATTATATTATGGGATATTCAGTAGTCACATTAATACATTAAGTAACTATGCATATTCACTGCGAGCAGGAAGTAAATTGAAATGAGGATACTGAAAAACAAAACCTTTAACCAAAGTTCAAGAAACTTGCCCTTTCCCTGCCAATGTAAGTAATTTAAGATTTGTTCCCATCTAGAACTTCATTTCGTTTCTCCATACTGAAAGGTCTATAAAGTTAGGTTCGTATCTCTCATTTGTCATTATTTGCCCAGTGCCTGGGCCATAGAATGTGCTTTGTAACAGTTAGACAAATTACTATAATGGCTATCCACAGGCTACTCTGTTGATTTTTTCAGATGAACCCATTTCATCAGTCAAAAATTCATGTTTAGTTCAATCAGATAAGAAAATAGAAGTCAAAGCTTGTGTCTCCAGTCCCCCTAGAAATTCACTGTCTACTGCTGCTATCAAGGAGACTGCCTGGGATTGTCTTCCTAAAAACCCTAAAGAGCCAGAAAAGAAGATTTGCAAAAAGCCTAATCTGGTGGTAAAGCCTTTACAGCTGGTGAGTAGGTGTAAAGACTTTGTACACTGGAGATCAGCATTATGGAAAGTAACTAAATGAATATTTCTTTTTTTAATGTTTTATTTATTTTTGAGAAAGAGAGAAAGTGGGGGAGGGGCAGAAAGAGAGGACAGAGGATCTGAAGTGGGCTCTGTGCTGACAGCAAAGAGCCTAATGGGCTCAAACTCACTAACCATGAGATCATGACCTGAGCTGAAGTTAGACACTTAAGTGACTGAGCCACACAGGCACCCCTAAATGAGTATTTCCTTACATCAAAATTCTATTCAGGAAAATCTTGTCTCAAGATGCATGATTTTTTAGAAGAGAGCAGAGTTTTGGTCTGAAATCACCTTATACGGCATTTATTCTTGTTCTAGATCTTTTGTATAACTAACTTTCAACTCTCATTTTAAACTTTTCAGATGGGTTTGAAGATTTGCCAGTTTTCTCAGGATGATAAAGCCAATGGTCTGTCCACGTTTTTGAAAATGTGGGCTGGAAAAGGAGGGAAGATTTGAGGAGCTTTGTTTTAGCTATATGTCTCAATAATTGCTGCAAATTGCCCCTGCTCGTGTACTCAATTATAGGGTGTATTTTTTATTTTTCATTACGTTTCCACACACAATTTTCCTTTTTTGTGTTCTCATCTTCTGTTATTTATTTTGTTGTTATTAAGGAATTAATTGCTTACACTTCTTCTATCGTCTGTAACTGGCTTCTTTCATGGAAGGAAAACATTTTGTTTCAAGAGACTGCTACATATTTTATAGAGGGTGAGAGAAAAGTCTAAAGGAAAATAATAGATTTTAGAATGAAAATGTTTGAGAAACCCTATTTAAAACAATTTTGGGGGGGG